GTGGGAGCGCTGCTGCACTCCCAGCGCCGCACTCTCCCGAGTGCGCCACGGGCTCGGCCCCACTAGTTTTTAAATACATGTTTTAAAGCATATTTTATTTAAGTAGAATGGAGTGGATGAGAGGTTCTTCTAAAGGGAAATAGGCAAAACCCTGAAAGAGGGGAAGAAGGAATGGGATTAAAGAAGTGTGTAAGAGACTTTGGCAGAGCAGGGGTTTGTGAAAGAGAAAAAAGAGGGGGAGGGGAGCTGTGGGAAAGAACTGATGGGTCATCTAGGCCCTGGGACAACACAGCTCCCTAGTTGCAAGCATCTGTAAGGGGGACAACAGATGGAGACGCCACTTACCCTGAGTAAGGATAGTGGTGAGGGCAGGCAGAAACACATTTTGTCTTACTAGAAAATGAGTAAAGGAGTTTGCCTCAGCTACTTTATTATGCTTCTTGCTTGTGGGTCCAGCAGCCTGGAGCTCACCTGCCTACCTTTAGAGAATCACAGATAGAGGGACTTGAGGGAAAAATGTAGTCCCTCCATCCATTTCATAGATGAGGAAACTGAGGTCTACAGAGTAGGGGCTTGTACTGGGGTCACACTAACCAGCGGAGCCAGGACCTAAGTCAAATTTAGTTTCACAGCTGTCCATCCTGTTTTCCTTTTAGTGTTAATAAGTTGATGTTTCACATACTGTAATCAAGGTTGTGTCAGGGTACTTGGCTTTTAGATAAAATAGACATAGGGTCTACAGATGAACATGTAAATAAATGCCATGAGCCAGGCACTGTGCTGAAGAGACTTAATTGAAGATTCAGCAATTGATGAGTGGTCCTTGCCCCAGAAGAGTACTCAGTAGAGGAGTTATCCCTGAGATAATACATGGTGATTGGTGGTGGTAAGGAAGAAACCTATAAAGCAAGGGGTAAAGGAGTAACTATTGTGGAAAGAATGGAAAAGGCCCTTTTGGGGGTTGGGATTCTCGCAGTCTCCTTTCTAGTATCTTTTCCTTTCCATCATCATTCCACACACCACCGCCCCCATCCATATGCATGAGCTAAAAGAGTATCTTGGCCCGTAATTTGTGAGCTGGCATAGACAGAACCTGTGGTGCTTCCTGAACTGGCCTATGAAACACTGCCTGGTGAAGGGTATCTGTGTGAACCCTTCCTAGGAGCATCTTTCCTTATCAGGTGTCCCCACCGATGAATCCTTTGTCTCTACTTCACTTCTGGCCTCCTGGCACGGTTCTATTTTACTACTCTGTACAGCAGTAAGAGTCAGTGATGACCCTTCTGAGACACAAAGGACTGGGTTTTTACATGAGTGGATCTTGTAGCCAGGGGAGTGAGAAATAAGAGTTGAGATAAAATTGTGTCCTTGGCAAATTGTGGTCTCTGCTTTATCTTTCAGGAAGCCTCCCACCTTCTTTTGACTCAGGGTTCCCAGAGGTGCTTTGGGTTGTTCTAATGACCTTTCTTGTGTGGCTCTTGTCTCAGAGAGTGGGTTGTGAAAAAATTAGGGTCTTAAAGATCCCAAGTAGAAGGACAGAAGCAGGTAGACTTTCAGATTCTCATACTCTCTGCTTTCATATGGTCTTACAAGTTTTACAACCCCTGTGAGGGGCTTTATTTATGTATTTATTTAGGAATCAAATTTACATATTGATGGCAGATACTTTCACTTATAGTTCTGGTAGTCTCTTAGCTTCCTTCTGAAAAGTTCCAGACTTCTAGTTTTGTTAATCAGAAATCACATCTGTTCTTGTTTCCCCTCCTCCAAATAACATCACATGCCTGCTTCCTAGAAGAGGACTGCAGTCTGTAATTTCAGTCAGAGTCACATTCTTACATGTGAGTGACTTCACTTGGAAATCCATAGGCTGCTTGTAACAGTGGTGAAAAGTCAGAATCTAGGATCTGTTTTATCAGTGTGACCTTGGGTTTTGCTTTTTTTCAGATTGCAGTGCTTTTGTCCACAAAGGCTGCAGAGAAAGTCTGGCCTCCTGTGCAAAGGTCAAAATGAAGGTAAGCCATTTCTGGCTTAAAGAATGCTTAAAATAAAAAGGGCTTAAACCAATAAAATCCTCAGGAGTTGGGACAGTTGAGGTTATGGTGGGTTTCATTTATTTTAATCATTTGGTACCAAATTTGAAACCAAAATAACCAAAAAATAATTCTTCTTTAAAGTGAGTAATTCTCTTGATTAACACACTCAGGAATTTGAGACTTTTGGAAAAGAAAATGTTTTCATAACTTCTACATGTTAAATATACTTTTCTCTGTGATTTTAATATTTTTGTGTTGCTGTTAAAGCGATTTACTTCTTAACCATGTGTGTAGACCTACTCTGCTGTTCACACACTTGACTTCCTAATTCAGGACCATGACGGCAGCAGGCTTTGCTATGCTGATGGGCTGGGGGATGCTATGGTTAGACCCAGTCTGTCTGGTAGCACTTTTCCACAGGTAAATGTAGGTGGCTCTGATCACATGATACAAGAATAAGAAATGCCAGCTGTATGATGGCAGCTGCTCTGAGCATGCATGCTATGCAGTAATGGAAATTGCTTTCCAGTGGCCCTTAAAACAAGAATATGAGTTTGGAGGCGTACCCCTTAGGTATCATGTGTGGTTTTCAGTGTTCTAGTCACCCATAAACATCTGTTCATTTCTTATCAGAAGAGTACTCTCCAGCTACATCTACACAAATGCTCAACGGCCTGTGTGCTTCATCAGTAACCAAACACATGTATCTAGTTCAGTGGCCTCAATTTTGAGTGTGTATCAGAATCATCTTGAGGGCTTATTTAAAGGCAGTTTACTGGGCCCCACTCCCAGAGTTTCAGATTCTGGGGTGGGACCCAGGAATTTGCATTTCTAAAAATTTCCCAGGTGATGCTGATGGTCCAAGGACCTCACTTCGAGAAGACTCAACTAGTGTCACGGTGGCAAACTTCTGTATTTTGTCATCTTACTTAGCCCATTGACATATATTTTGTTTAGTTCATTCAGTATTTTTTTGAGTTCGTGCATTTTTAAAATCGTATGGTCTGTACCCTTCCCCCACTAGACAGTAAGCTCCAAAACTTGCCAGCCAGTCTAAGGCAGGAATCTTTGATCCATTAATAGAGCCTGAGCACCTAGAATGGTGTCTGGCTTATAGGTCGTTAAGTGTTGGAGGTTGGATGGCAGGTGATTATCGACTGGACATGAGTGGCTGCAGCCTCCTTTAGACAGGATGAGCAACTTCCAGATTGCCTCTCCCCCCGTCCCCACCCCAACTTGCTTCTGTCATTTGTTACCTGCCTGACCCCATAGTCATTTGAGTTTGTGATCTCTGATAAGACTTATTGCTATTGTGAATGTACTGGGTTCTGTAGAACGATCATGATACAGATAACAGCATCTCTCATGTTAGAGAATATAACCTATAAGGGGGAATTCCATTTTAAATTGGAAGTAACTTATTTTTTCTAATGATTTATCTCAGATTAATTGCTTTAATCTATAAATTCTCAAAGTATTATTGTTACATTCTACAACAAAGGTCTTAATCAAAATGAGCATTTTTACCTAAGAATGTAGCACCTTATAAATGCTTCTCACTGGAGAAATAGAAATCAGAAAGGCACAGGGCTTATTTTTTCTAATGATTTATCTCAGATTAATTGCTTTAATCTATAAATTCTCAACGTATTATTGTTACATTCTACAACAAAGGTCTTAATCAAAATGAGCATTTTTAACTAAGAATGTAGCACCTTATAAATGCTTCTCACTGGAGAAATAGAAATCAGAAAGGCACAGGTACTGTTCTTAAGGAACCAGCAGTCTAGTTAGGAAGATGGACAGACAGATGATTATAAGTGAGAAAAAAGATATGCGGAGGCCTTCACAGGGCTTTAAAGGGATACTAGTGACTGGAGAGGAGAATGGATGGCTTTATCAAGGAGGTGATTCTAAAGTAGTCTTGTTGTGGAAGAATACCATGCCTGTGAAGATGAGGAAAGCATTCCAGACAGCAAAAATACTGTGCAGCATCAGAGTCCTTGGCAGGTTCAGAGAATGGCAAGTGGGGGTGACCATGGCTGGGACACAGGGTGCTGAGGGCCAGTATAAGGGACAGAGCAGGGAAGTAACCAGACCACGCTCTTCCTATCCTATGGTTCTCAAAACTTGCCAGAGGGGAAATTATCGATGCAGTCTTCATGAATTTATTCTCTTTTTCTTTAGCAGCCCAAAGGGGTTCTCCAGGCGCATGACACGTCATCACTGCCCACGGTCATCATGAGAAGCAAGTGTAAGTAGCTCAGCCCACTTCTCTGAACTTCCTTTCTGACTTTTTAGTTCTGGACTTTAACATACTGTTGAAATGTTCATTTTTATTCTTCATCAAGATTTGAGTACCTCTTTTGTGGTGAGTTACAGAAAGCTACTGGTTTATCCTGCAGATTTGTTAACCAACATTATACTGTCAGATCCTCTTTGAAGGTTCCTAGAACACTGTGTATATTAGCTTAAAAGGCAGCACCTTAGCCATGTGTGTTTAAGCAAGTGGCCCCTGTGCATCTCAATTTTGATTTTAATGCTTCACAGTTGTGTGAATGAAATGAGATCTTGCTTATTAAACTTCTTTATAAACTGAAGTTATATAAATGGTTCATATTTTTCTTGAAGGACCACAAGTGGTACACAAAATTGAGTAAATCACACTCCTGTTCACATCAGACTGTCTTCACCAGTCTGTGCAAGGCTCCACTTTGGTTTTACTTAATATTTTTTCCTTTTCATACTCCATTCCCTATCTGATTCCTACTGTAGTGTGTTTAACGTATGTCCTTCTAATCTCCCGCATCATTAGGCATGTGTATATTTTTGGAAAAAATCTGGTATTGTTTTGTGTGTTGGATTTAAATTAGATAATGATATGACTTATGCTTATACAAGGGAACTTCAGAAATTTGTGGAAAAATGGAATTAAAAGACAGTACAAATCGTTTCATGAACTTTTTGAAAACCCCTCATATATTCTCCTTATTTTTTTCACTCAGTATCATTTTGAGATTTACGCATGCTATTATTGTAAGCTATTATTCAGACCTCTGCATGATATTCTTTCATAAGCATATATCACGTTTAATTATCAGTTCCCACAAAGAAAGGATATTTAGGTTGCCTCCAACTGCTACCATACATAGCGCAATAGTGAATTTCTTTCAGTAGGCTTCATGGCAACCTATGTGAGACTTTCCCAAGGCAGTTTTTCAAAGTGTAGTTTCCAGATCAATTAGAAGAGCATTGTCTTGAGCCCTACCCAGACCTACAGGTCATAAACTCCAAGGTGGAGCCTAGTGATCTGTGTTCTAATAGGTCCTCCAGGCAATTCTGATGCCCACTCAAGCTTGAGAACTACGGCCTTATGCCTAATGTCTTTATATATACTTCCAGATAGCTCCAGAATGGTTGTACTACTCTCTACTCCCACAGAAGAGTGTGAATTCCCTTTAGACATAGTAAATCAGGTTATTTTCCAATTTTACACATAGATGACTAGAAGAGATTTGCTAAACTGACACCCACTTCAATCTGTGATCCTACCCATTGCGCACACAATTTACAAGTCTAATATTCCTTAAACTTTTTTTCTGACATTATCCCTTGTTTCAGAAGCCTGTTTTCTTTCACATCAGGTAAGATAACATCTATTTTTTAAAAATACCTGTTATGTGCCAGGTTCTTTGTGTGTATTACTTCTGACCCCCACAAATATTCTTTCTTCTCTTTTACCTTACTGAGGCAACATAGTGGTTAAGAGTACAGACTGTGGATTCAAATTGTATAGGTTTGAGTCCCAGCACGACCCCTTAATAGCTATGAATCCTTGGACATTATAAACCTTCCTGTGCCCCATTCTCCTCCTTTGTAGAAGAGGGATGATAATAGTATGATAGGATGGTAGTCAGTTTAAATGAGATTGATTATACCTATAAAGTACTTAGTAGTAGGTACTCCTTAAGTGTTCACTTTTGCTGCTGTCACCATCACCGTCCCCATCATCACCACTACCACAGATGAGAAAACTGAGGCTCAAAGATATTAACTTACCTGTGTGGAATATGGATTGGTTTCAAATAAGGAAAAACTGTTCTTTTCATCTTCTTATGCTGCCTTTTAAATACAAGTTGTTCTTTATAACTTTTAGGGCTCTGAATAACTTGACTTCATTCTGCTTCTCCAGCCTTCTCACTGATCACTCTATACATTCACTACTTGCTTCCTTCTTTATTTTTTTTCTCTTTTTCACAGTACTACATTTTTTTTTTTGCCTTCATAACAATTTCATCAAAATGTCTTCTCTTTTCCTTCTGACCTATCGACATCCTTACCTTTCTTCAAGAAATAGTGTTCCTTCCTCCATCACATTTTACCTGCCCATTGACCTCCCTTCTGAAACCCTTAGGACATGCTCCATGTTCTAGCATTCTCTTTCCTACCAGTTGCTCTTACTCTGTAGGGGCAGGGCCCATGTCTCATACTCCCTGTGTACTTCCTGAAGCAGGGGTCTGGTAGTGTCTTAGTGTATCATGTGTCTGGTGTTTCATTGTATCATCTTCTTCTAAATAGATAATAATTATGTTAATGCTCTTTAAGTCAAAAACATCCTGAAATACTGTGAAGTTGTAACAGTCACCCCAGTCTTATTTCCTTCTGCTCTTAACATCCCTGGGAGTAGACGGATAATTCAGCTCATGTCTAGATCAGGAGGTCAGTTACCAAGAAGAAATAATTTGTTACCCAGGTGTCAGTGTGACCACTTTAGCAAGTGAGAGCTCTAGTTTTTTCTTTGGTCATGTTAAGAAGAAATATACAGTATTAGAACAAATTAGCTATGTGACATTAAACAAGTGTTATATTTTCCCCACCCATAAATTAAAGGAATTGGTCAAAATCTGTACTCTCAAACAATGAGCAGAAGAATCATTTGAGGAGCCTGTAACATATATAGACTCTCAGGTCCTACCCCAAAGGACAAGGAGGATTGGGAATTTCATATCTAATAAGCACTTCAGATGTTTCATGGTGGGTGGTTTCAAAGAACACCGGTCTCAGTTATCTCTAAGGTTCCTTAAAATTCTTTCAATCTTATTTTATTAATAATTAGTTTGAATTTTTAAATATATAATATTCACGTGATTCTTTATCCCCATTTTATTTATCTTCCCAGAGTTCCCTTATTAAAGTAAAGCAAATATCAACTTGGATTATTAATTTTTCTTTCTTTTTTTTTAAAGCATGAAAGATAGTTTAAGTACTTTGTTCTGTACCTTGATTTTTTTCCTCCCCTTAATGTCTTAGAGATCTGTGTCAGTACATAGAGAGCACCCTCGTTTTCTTAAAGCTGTGTAGTAATCCAGTATACGAAGTACCATAACTTATTAAACAGTCTTCTTTTGATACTCATTTGTATCATTTGCTTTTACCCAGAATGTTGTATTGAATAACTTTGGACATAGATCATTTCAAACAAATACAAGTATATCTTGTAGGATAAACATTCTAAAAGTGGAATTACTAAACCAAAGAATATAGGCATTTACAATTTCTATCGTTATTGCCAAACTGTCCACCGTAGAGGGGTTTTTTTCTCTTTTTTTTTTAAATAGAGGTTTTGTACCAATTTACACTCCCATGGCATCTTGCTTCTACTTAGTGTTTGTCATAGTCAGTACTAGGTGGGCATAATTAGGTGGTGCTTCAGAGAGTGTTCTCTCTTCCTTTGCAGCCTCACAGCCCAAGGAGCGCCCTCGATCCGCAGTCCTCCTGGCTGAAGAAACCACTGCCATCCCCATGTTTGCGAATAGACGGTCCCAGCAGAGTGTCGCACTCTCCAAAAGTGTCTCCATACAGAACATTACTGGGTAAGTGGAGATTTAAAGGTAGCACAGTTGACGTCTAGATGACAAGAGCATAATAATCACCTAGTTTGACAAAAAGATTCTTCTTTTGGAAATAAAGTAATGGGTTTGGTGCGCAATTGGGTGATACAGGTGAGGAGAATGGGGTCATGTGTGATGCTCTGTCATGACTGCCACTCGTAACAAGGATCTCCTTTAATAACAGCTTTATTGGGCTGGGTTGCTTTTAGGCTTTTGTGTATGATCAGCCCCACTTGTGAAGAACTGGAGTTGTAAAAAGATGACTTTTTTAGATCAAAATAAGAATCATTATAGGAAAAATAATGACTTTATTCTGATTTTTTGGTTGCAACGACTTACATTTCCACATGTCATACTTTTCTATTATTCAGATGAACCTGGTTGTTTTCTTTTTTAAATACGTTTTCCATCCTTGCCTTGTAACTCTTAAGTCAGTTTAATGGAGGTGAATTATAGGCCAGTTATTACTGTTAGGTTCCACTCATTTGCACTGAGTTCCTTTTGTGGTCCTCTGCAAAAGTTGCTGTGGCCACTGACTGTTCAGGCCTTGGCTGTCAGGTGGTTTGCACAGGGCTGATTATAATGATGTTGACTGTTTTGGGTAAGGTGCCTGCCTTCCCATCAGTAAGCCATCTCAAATGTAGCACTCAAAACATTTCTTGCATGCCTCTTAAGGATGTAGAATTTCCTTTTGTCTCTTTTTCCTTATCTCTGTGCTAGCTAATATTTCCTCCTCTAAAAAAAAAAAAGGTTTCAGGTATTTCTGTTTTATTTTGTTTGTCTTTGTATTTTTCATTACCTCCAAAAGCCTTCCTTTCGAAGCTGTAACGTTATCAAAGTTTGTTTGCATTGTGACTTGGAAAAGTTGGCATTTATATAAGTTGGCCTAGAAATTTTAAGTTTTAAATAACGCTTGTTTTTGTGTCATACAGCAAACATTTATTGTGTGCCTATTAAGCTAGCTAGTGAGTTGGAGTTGAGAAAAGTCTATAGAATATAGTTTATTATACATGCTCACTCTGTATTTGTTTAGGGAACAGGGAAAAAAAGTGTAGTGGTTAGGCAGTAAGTTTTAACCAGAAGTTTCTCGTGTACACTTGGTTGAGGGAAGAAAATTCTCCTTGCTGTTTGTCATTTTTTTAAAAAAAGGCTCAAAATGTTTGAGTTGCAATGATACTAAATGCTTCCGAACTTCATTAATAGTTAGTGTAGCATGTTGCTGTATACCTGGTGTAAGTAATTTATCTTCAGACATTGTGGTAATTACAGGCAGCTGTCATTTTAGGATTTTTCAGGTACTGATTTAAGAATGCAAACCTCAGCTTATCAGAATTTATATGACAGTATGTATTTCTTTTTGTCCTCAGAGTTGGCAATGATGAGAACATGTCAAACACCTGGAAATTCCTGTCTCATTCCACAGACTCACTAAATAAAATCTGCAAAGTCAATGAGTCAACAGAATCACTTACTGATGAAGGTAAGAGGAAGTTATGGTCTATATTTTATGCCTCTATAGATAGACACTGTGTGTGCCGTTACCTAGAATACAAGTGATAATGGGATAATAGTGCCTGCCTCTTCCTTCTCCTAACCATGAAGATTCTCTGAATTGTCTGTGAAGTTTTAAGTGCTTTATAATGAATTGGTAATCAAAATTATCCGATTATGAACTGTCCACTCAAGAATGTCTTTGATTTGGGCCGGCCCGGTGGCGCACTGGATAAGTGCGCCACTTGGGAAGCGCGGCGGTGCTCCCGCCCGAGGGTTCGGATCCCACATACAGACCGGTTCCCGCTCACTGGCTGAGCGAGGCGCGGGAGCAACGCCGAGGGTTGCAATCCC